TTCAAATGAATCAATTCTGCTGTCTTCCTTATTCATTGTCTAGCTCGTACATTCATATGTGACCATTGAAAATACCATGACTTGGATCAGGTACACCTTGCTATTCAGAGTGACATCTTTGCTCTTAAAACTTTAAAGGGGTCTTATGCAGAATATTTATCCAATGAAATATATTGTTTGATTTCTTGATTGCTGCTTCCATGTGTGTTGATTGTGGATCCAAGTGAAAAGAAACCTTTGAAAACTTCATTTATCATGATGATGCTTATTGGTCTAATTGTGAGGATTTTATTTTCTTTATATAGAGGTGCAATACATATTGAAGGCTGAAGACTTTGATCTTCATCAATAAGTGCTTCGAGTATTTTCTGTACTTCCAGCAAGGAAGGTTGTGTCATCTGCATATCACAGGTTGTTAATGATCCTCTGATGTTGTGTTCTTCTTCACATAGTCCAGCTTCTTAGATTATTTGCTCAGCACACAGATTGAATAAGTATGGTGAAAGGACACAACCCTGATGGACACCTTGCCTGATTTTAAACCATGCAGTATTTCCTTGTTCTGTTTGAATGCCTTTCTCTTGGTTTGTGTACAGGTTCCTCATGAGCATAATTCCATGTCCTGGAATCCCCATTTTTCACAGTGTTATCCATAACTTATTATGATCCAGTTAGTTGAATGCCTTTGCACAGTCAATAAAATACAGGTAAACATCTTTCTGCTATTCTTTGCTTTCAAACAAGAACCATCTGAAATCAGTAATGATATCTCTCATTCCTTGTCCTCTTCATATTTCAGCTTGAATTTCTGGTAATTCCCTGTCAATGTACTGGGCAACTGTCATAGTCTGCAAAATTTGACTTGCATGTGATATCAGTTATATAGTTTGATAATTTCTGCATTCTGTTGGATCACCTTTCTTTGGAATGGACACAAATTTGAATCTCTTCCAGTCAGTTGGCCAAGTAGCTCCCTTCCAAATTTCTTGGCGTAAGTGAGTAAGCATGTCTAGCACAGCATCCCTTTGTTGAAGCATCTCAGTGGTTATTCCATCATTCTTGGAGGCTTGTTTTTCATCAGTTCCCTCGGTGCAGCTTGCACTTCTTCTCCTTCAGTGCTACTGGTACTTGATCATATGTTCCCTCCTGAAATATCTGACCATTGACCAGTTCTTTTTGGCACAGTGATTATGTGTTCCTTCCATCTTCTTTTATTACTTCCTCTGTTGTTCGATATTTTGCCATTAGAATCCTTCAGTATTGCAATTCTTGGCTTGAATTTTTTCTTCAGTTCTTTCAGCTTGAGAAATGCCGAGCATGTTCTTCCCCTTTGATTTTCCAATTCTAGGTCTTTGCACATTTCATTA